ACCTTGTGCTCTCCAGCACTCACATGGGAGCTTATTGATGAAATGCTGCTGGCCCATGCCCTGCTCCCTATCTCGTTCCGCTCACCTCACTTGCCCTCTGCAGAGGTTTGAGGAGTAAGAAATAGTTTTCCTTGGGCCCATAGCCAGAGGTCCAGGGAAGAGGAGAGCCTTTCTAGTAGGGATGTTAAATATCGGTTAATACCTTGTGCTCTCCAGCACTCACATGGGAGCTTATTGATGAAATGCTGCTGGCCCATGCCCTGCTCCCTATCTCGTTCCGCTCACCTCACTTGCCCTCTGCAGAGGTTTGAGGAGTAAGAAATAGTTTTCCTTGGGCCCATAGCCAGAGGTCCAGGGAAGAGGAGAGCCTTTCTAGTAGGGATGTTAAATATCGGTTAATTGAATAGTCAATCAACCTCATGAATTCTTATCGGTTACTCGACTATTCTGTAGTCCCCAGGGGTGAGCCAGTGTGCTCTGGCCCCATTCCTAAGAGCACCCTGCCACTTCATGCTGCTGCCTCTATCAGCTCCCCTTGCAGACTGGCTGCTTGTTGCCCCACAGAGGCAGCAGCCCCTGTCCAGAGGGTGTATGTGTCTGAGCTCACAGACCCAGCGCAAGTCGGAGCTGAGCCAGACTGCCTGTCCACCTGGCTCCTAATACACTTTACATGGAAAGCCACAGCAGGGGTAGGTGCCAGACCTGGTGCAAGCTGGGACTGAGCCAGGATGCTGGTCAGCCTGTGAAAAAATGTACTGAAAAGGGGTGGGGGAGAGAATGCATGTAGTCTATTGCATTAACCTATAAGCTTTTCCTTATTGGTTAAATCAATGACACTATTGCATCCCTAGGTCAAATGTGCCCAAAAAACCCCTAAAAATCTTAGAACATGCTAAAAAGGTCACAAACACTCTAATAATAAATTAACCACATTAAAAATAAAACAAATGCCCCCAATCCTTAAAAACAAGTAAGCTAGAACTCATATAGGACAACTCCCTCAAAAAATAAATGTCCCCCCCAAAAGAACCCACACCTTTATATAAATATAATTGCAACTCAACAAAACCCATAACTCAAATAAAAACTATAGACATAAGCAACTTTACAACAGTTCTCTAGGTTCATCCTGCAAGCCTCAAAACATCAACATCACAATTAACAAAACCTGGAACCCGCACCCTCTCATGTGCAACCTAACAAGCCACTAGGTTGATCCAAATCGCTAATTAGTAAAACAACGTGTATGTATGTGTAAACATATGTTTTTTTAATTTATATTCTCAATAAATGCAACATATTGCCTTTTTCCCTAAAAAAATTCCACGTGTTTCTGATAAACATAACAAAAGCCTGTGTCACACTGGTCATCATAATTGCTGACTGACACATGTACAGAAAACATGTGAGGACTTGTCTATATATGCTTACAATTATGTTCTATAATTCAAAACACATAAGAATGGTCATATTGATTCAAACAATGGACCATGTAGCCCAGTATCCTGTCATTTGACAGTGACTGTCGCATGATGCTTCAGAAGAAATTAACACAATAGGACAATTTATCAAGTGACCCATCCCATCTTTAGTCCCAACTTCTAGCCACCAGAGTTTTAAGGACACCCAAGAGCACAAGGTTACATCCATAACCATCTTGGCTAATAGCCACTGATGGACCTACCCTCCGTGTGCGTGTTCAGCTTACTTAGGCTGTGTAAGGAGAGGGAAGGAGAGCAGCAGCTCCTGATGCTCACCTCACAGCAGAGCCCAGGTGGGCAAGTGACTTGGATGCAGAGAGCTCTGGCATTGCTCCTCACAGCTCTCTCAGACGGTGCAGAGGAAATCTGAGAGAGAGAGGATGTGCAATATCTGTGCACCATCCATTGCTCACACCCATGCAGCATGTGTCTCTGCTAGGAGGAAACAGGGAGAAATCTGGGCACCCCTCACATCGCCCCTGCGAGTTTGTGGTGCTCCCCTGCCAGATAGCAGCATGGTCCTCTGCACTGCCTCACAGTGCTCTCCTGATCAAGACATCCTGGGTAGTCGCCCAGGTGGCCTGCCTACAAGGCTGACCTTAGCTGGGAGTTAAATAGTGTTGTGTTCCAAGGTGAATTAGTAAGCCATGGTGCACTGTTCCTTTGGGAACAGCAGGCCTGGTAATTCTGCAAATGTCCAATGAAGCAAGGGCTGGATACTACTGGGGATTTGTGCAGGACTATGGGGCTGCAGTGTCCTTTTTGCTAACCTGTAAAGAGAGTAAGGGAGTGCTCGTATTGCCAGTAGGTCAAGGAGCTGACCCCAGGCAAAACAAACACAGACACAGTTCCTTTACACAAAGGGCAAATAGCAAGGCGCCACACAATCAGGAAGCCTCAATGTCAAAAGGAATAATTCTGAATATTCTGAGATGTGCCACATTTTATGGTTTTCCTTGAGCATTGGGATTTTCAGTGGAAAATTAAGAAAGATACCCAACTCACATTATCCACCTGGCTCCCATTGAAGCCTAAATACTTTAATCCCCCTGGAAATCCCAGCTACAACAGTACACTGGTCCACCACATGCATGGTTTCTTTTAATCCTGAACCACAGCGTCACATTATCAAATCACAACATGTAAGTGGCTGTACCTGCAGTGATGTGCTCTGTCTGGTTTGATGCTACAGCATTTTGGACACTTATAAACCACCTGTCCTGGCTTCAGCTGTAAACTCTCAATAAACTCTTTTGTGGCATTACCTTTAGGCACAGCACCCTGGAAATAAAAACAAAGATTTCTGTACCACAGCTTTTATCAATAACATCAAGAGACCCAATTCAAGCTCTTGGAAAGGAAGAGAGATGCAAGGTTCCCTAACAAACCACAGAATTTCACAATTTGAACAGGAGAAAGATTCAGAAAGGACATTATCGTAAGGCTGTACTGTAGTACATAAATAATAAGCAGGATGTAATCCTTATCTGTTTACTCAGACTAGTCATCTGACCTTGTGTCACAGAAAACTGGACAAATGCATGTGTCCCCATAAAAGTTATGCAACTGAAAATTTTTGCCTACATTAAATGTTGCAGGCAAACATATTTTGCTTGTGTTCATAAACGTCCTTCCGTTTGTTCTTGGTTTTTAAATGAGAACTTGTAGAGAAATATTAAGTATGCAAATACCACTTTAAAAAAGTCCCAAGGGGAAAATATAAGATTAGTTAATGTTCTGGCACTCACTAGTGCAATTTTTGAAGTCTCCCCTTAAATATGCATCTTTAATATTGCTGAGTTAATGTTGCTGCAAGAGTCTTAACATTCAAAAGACAAGAAATTAAAAATCTCCATTCTTAATATTAACAATTCCACTGCAAAAATGTTAATTAAAAAAGCCTGAGACATACCATATGAATGACTGCTGGGATGGAGACAGAGATATAAACAGGAACTTACATTAAAACAAACCTTGCATTAGGAAAGTAACAATTAATGGAAGAGTTTTTATAGCAACAATGCTTTCTACTACATTTTTGACACTGGACATGCTCTTCCCTGTAATGATTGGCTCTATGCTGTGTAAACACCGCACCAGTTTCCCCACCTCTGTCTCACTGCGCTTATCCTGTCCCCATCACCTCCTTTTATTATCTTTCTGTTTAGCTGATCCCCTCTTAACAAAACCCAAACCAAGAATTCACAAAAAACCTCAACACCCATTAACTCATAAGGCCCCATAAGTAAGTAAATAAATACATACTTTTAGACTGGAAACTGTAGCAAGAACTCTCCTACCCTATGTCTGTACATTGCCTAGCATAAATCTGTTGGTCCCTTGGATCACTACAGTAATTCCAACAATTAACAATGAAAAAGAAATCCTTCAAAATATGAACTATATGTTAACAGATGCAATGCTGTATCCGTGAATCTGATGATAGAACGTTTCAGTGCCTCCATTATGTCTCAGTTTTATCAAGCAATGGCATTATGAAGTGAACAAGAGTCAATTTCACAGAAAGCAGAAGTGAAACTGCCCAAAACTGGGTCAGTTCCCTGCTGCTGCTATTCCTAAATAAGATGGAAGCTAAGTAATAAATACAGGCATTAGAGTTTTCATAGTGAGGGGTTTCACCCAAGAAGTGCAGCATCTAGACTCTAAAGGTGGAAGAGACAACTTACTCTTTCAGTTGATGGAAGATAGGCTAAGAATTTTAAATTTAATCAATTAGCCAGATATGGAAGACCGAGCCATCAAAGATGTGGGGATAGCACTCTGATAAAAATCACCTTCCTGACAGTTCAGAGATGCAAGGAGAAAGAAGGGTAAGACTGTATTTCTGATCAGGGTAAAGTCCCTAGATACTGCACTACCCATCTTGTGTTTCAAATCTAACCTCCTAAGTGGAAGGCTTAACATTTTAAGGACTCTGGTACATTTTTTAAGCTATGGCAATATGAGCTAATACTATTAGGGAGATTTATGCTAAAACAACCTAGTAGGTATAATCTAATTCAACTAAATCATTAGTGTTAAAAAAGAATCATAACTTTTCCACTATAGGAGTCAATTTAAGTAATTTTTCTCAACACCATTCTGCTGCAGTGACACTAGATGAGACAGACAATTGAAACAAGTTTTTCTAGCTTTCCAGCTTGTCAGGTCATGACAAGCCACAAATATGAGATCTAGTACTGTTTCAAAAAAGGGTAGGAATCTCTCTCTCTCTCTCTCACTCCTACTCTTTTTCACACTAAAGGGAGCTTTTCAGATCAGGCTTTACATTTGGTGTGTCAACCTGATCTAATAGGATGATGAGTTAGCTTACCACAACAACCACCTTACTGATCACAAAATATACAGATGATTTAAATCTGCTATTCACCACTGGCCCAAATTATCCTACATCTAGCAGGAAAGAAAAAAATGAAAATATACTTACTGGATCTGTTAGCATAGCTCGAAAATGTGAAGCCAAAGCCAAGAAAGCCAATATGTTGAATAATATCCCATTGATCATACTATAAATATAATCTCTTGACGGAACTAACATAACAAGAAGGACTACAAAGTCTGCATAGAAGACAAGCATCCAGGTAACAACAGCACAAGCGATACCACAGCCGTCTCGAATAAACCACATTGTTCCCAAGGAACTATTGCTAGGAGGTGGAACACACTTGTCTGGCTGGAGGTATTCAGGTTTCCTCTCAATATCTCTGAAGCGGTGTATTGGAGTAATCATCATAGGTTACAATGTCCATACTTGCATGTGGAAAAGAATCAAAGAGAGTCTTCTGCTTTACAAACGAAACTCAGAAAACTTCTTGTACATAACGGTAGGAGAAGCATGTAGGAGATTCCAGGCTGCAGAAAAGGAGCTGAAAACCAAAAAGAAAGTCAATAATAAGAAAAAACAAACAAACCATGTTTTAGAGATAATCTAATAGAGAACTTCTTATCCAGAAGGAGACCAAGTGCTTTTTAAACTTTGTCAGAAGACTTAGAAATTATACATAGGAGTCCCCTAACCCACCACTGCAATGCAGGCACTGCTGGGGGAAAAGCTACAACTATTTAAAACGCAGCACAGCAGTTAGGTGGGAGCCAGCAGTAGCAACTGCAGAAGCAGCCAAACCAGGGACTGCATCACTGGGAGAGAAAGAAGTAAAATGGGCCCAGACAGGGCTGCTCCTCCCCGGCGTACCCTCAGATGCACAACTGAGATTCCATCATCCCTCAGTCTAAGGGTACCTCCCCTCCACTTCTGGCCTTAGGGAAAACCTGCAGGGGAATAAGCAACCAGAGATTCCAGCAGAAGCAAATGTTTGGGCATTCAGAGAGCTTTGTATAGTTCTGACTGGACTTTCTCTACCCTATGCCTCAGCCCTCTCTATCCCTGTCCTTCACATAGTTTCTGCACCATCAGCCCCTCTGACTCCTCTCAGCACTTTGATATTATCCCCTCTCCCCTTTTTCCTTTCCATTTGTGTTATCCTCTCCTAACTAAACCAACCACAACAATGTAAAACATTGCCCAAAAAGATGTTAGCTACCATGACATTGTTCACTCAGTTTTCATGTCGATGCCCATTTCCTTCATGTGGTGCCTATCATGTGTATTTAGATTGTAAGCTCTTCAAGGCAGGGAGGTACAGTACCTAGCACAATGGGGCTCAATCCCATTGGTCTTTAGGCACTACCATAATAAACTCAACTAATAATAATAAAATAAAAAGTGAGGATCATATCCAACTAAAACAAGAGAGGAATTTACTCTATAGAACTGTTATTCAAACTGAAATCTAACCATGTTCCAACGTTAACAGCTTTAACCACACATAAAAATGCCATGGGATTTTGTATTACCATAAGAGGGCCATTTGTGTCAAAATATAGCTTGTACTGAACAAATTTGCCACCTATGTTTCCACTGTTCATGGTTTCATCTGTTCATGGTGTGCTGCACCATGCTGGCAGTCTGGATACTCTCTTTCGAAAAAGCACAGTTCACGTTCAATAATGCTTTTTTTTTGAAAGAGCAGTTTCGAAAAAAGGCATTATTCCTCGTAAAATGAGGTTTTCCGCGATCGAAAAAACTGCCACGTTCTTTTGATTTACTGTCGAAAGAACACAGCAGCAGTCTAGACGCAGGGGAACTTTTTTCAAAAAAAGGCCACTTTTTTTTAAAAAAAACCCTGTAATCTAGACACAGCCTGAGGGAGAATTTATCCAGGAAAGTTTGGTTGATTCTCCTGCAATATTGTGCACAGAAAAGAAAATGCAGTTTGAAAACGTTTCATTGTCAAGGCGAACTGTTGTGAGATGCATAGAAATCTCAGAGAACGTTGAAAAACAAGATCAATAATTTTTCATATTTTGCTCTGGCACTCAGTGAAAGTTGTGATGTCAAAGACACAGCCCAGTTGTTGATTTTTCATTGAAGGCATTACCACAAATTTGGGCTCACAGAAGAACTGGCATCAATGCAATAAATGAAAATTACAACTATTGGAAAAAGTAAATGGCAGCATCTCAAAATTGGGACTGAAGTGGAAGAAACTGGTGAGTGTAACTACTGATGGAAGCCTTAACCTGAAAAGCAAAAATGTTGGATCACTGAAAAGAAAACAAAGCCAAGCGATAGAAATAAACCCAGAGCAGAAAAGTTTTCTACACTGGTTAATTTCAGAACCCTTTTGCAGAGGGCCTCCTGGTGAAAAGTGCAATGTCATGGATACAGTTGCAAAAATGACCAATTTTATTAGAGGAAGAGCATTAAATCACAGGCAATTTGTCTCTCTGACGGAGGAATCAGAGTCAGAGCACAGAGATGTTCAGTACCATACAAGTGTTAGACTGCTTAGTTTGGGAAAAGTTCTGAAAAAGAGTGTGGGATCAGAGAGCAAAGATTGATTGTTTTTTCAAAATGAAAGGAAAAGATGTGGATTTCCCTCAAGTGAACAACGTGAATTGGTTCTCTGATTTTGCATTTCCCAGTGACATTACGGAATACATAAATTAACTGAATTCAAAACTGCAAGGTAATGGGCTTTTTGCTCATTACATGTATTCCCATGTCAAGTCTTTCATGATAAAGTTGCTCCTTTTCTCCCATTAGACTGGGAACAAGCAATTTCCATACTTCCTCACTTTGCAATAGATTGCAATATCTAACAAGAACCTGGAAAGATACACAAAATTGACTGCTTGATTTGCATGTTGAATTTTCGACACTTCATGTCATTTTCTATCACTAAAATCCATGGCTTTGCTCTCCTCCCCTTTCACATATGAAGTGCACAACACTCCTAGGGTATGTCTACACTACAGCACTAATTCGAACTAACTTAATTCGAATTAGTTAATTCGAACTAAGCTAATTCGAACTAGTGCATCTAGACCTAAAAACTAGTTCGAATTAGCATTTTGCTAATTCGAACTAGCATGTCCTCATTGAGTGGACCCTGAACCGAGGTTAAGGATGGCCAGAAGCAGTGCCGGCAGGGCATCAGATTAAGACTTAGAGCATGGAGCTGCTGTCTCAGGCTAGCCGAAAGCTGTGCTTAAAGGGACCCGACCCCCACCCCGGACAGACAGTTCTCAGGGGTTCCCCGCTCACTTGTCTAACTCGATGAGGGACAGCAAAGCAGTCCTGGCTTGGAATGCCCTGAATGTTCACACTCGGCACATCACAGCACTCGGTCATCAGCCCGGCTGCACTTGCCACAGACTGTCATCCGGGGAGGGGGGTCAAACGGGGGGCTGCAGGACAGCTTCCACCCCGAGGAGCCCACAGAGCCACCCTAGTCCTCCCCATCGGGGGCTCGTACCCCATTCCTCCCTCATCCCCTTCCACTTACCCCTCCCTAGCCCCCTTCCTGATGTAAAAAATAAAGGACCCGTGTGTTCAAAAATAGAAACTCTCTTTATTGAACAAAACTCGGGGAGACTGGGAAAAGGAGGTGGGAGAAGGGAAGAGAGAGGGTGGGAGAGGGGAGGGCAACTAAAATGATCAGGGGTTTGGAACAGGTCCCATATGAAGAGAGGCTAAAGAGACTGGGACTTTTCAGCTTAGAAAAGAGGAGACTGAGGGGGGATATGATAGAGGCCTATAAAAGCATGAGTGGTGTGGAGAGGGTGCATAAAGAAAAGTTCTTCAGTAGTTCCCATAATAGAAGGACTAGAGGACACCAAATGAAATGAATGGGGAGCAGGCTTCAAACTAATAACAGACAGTTCTTCTTCACAAAGCAAATAGTCAACCTGTGGAACTCCTTGCTGCAGGAGGCTGTGAAGGCTAGAACTAGAACAGAGTTTAAAGAGAAGTGAGATAAATTCATGGAGGTTGGGTCCATGGAGTGGTATTAGCCAGGGGGTAGAAATGGTGTCCCTGGCCTCTGTTTGTGGAAGGCTGGAGATGGATGGCACGAGACAAATGGCTTGGTCATTGTTTTCGGTCCATCCCCTCCAGGGTCTCTAGTGTTGGCTGCTGTCGGCAGACAGGCTACTGGACTAGATGGACCTTTGGTCTGATCCAGTACGGCCATTCTAAGCTCATGGCTCAGGGGCGGGGGTCTCAGTGGACCACCCTGATTTTCATGCAAACCTGCTCCTGGGTGGCCAGGCTGGCAGCTATCCTGCCCTAGACGGCCACTTTCCTGTGCCTACTGCGGAGGTCATGGATGAGGTCCACAATCTCCGCACTAGACCAGGTGGGCGCCCGCCTCTTGCGGACCTGGGCAGGCTCCCGGGAGCTGCCAGCCTGGCCCCAGGAAGAGGCGGAGGGCTGGGTGGCAGCGGGTGGTTGGTTCGTGCCGTGCCAGGTGCAGGGTCTGCTGGCTGGGTGCTGGCAGGCTTGCACCTGGCATGGGCACCGTAGCCAGACCGTGCCCCTTTAAGGGCTCCGGGGCCGGGAGGGGGGCAGAGGGGTTTCCCTGGTGATGCCCAGATTGGCCACCAGGGAAAGCTGGGGAGGGCTAGCCTCCCACTAGTTCGAATTAAGTGGCTACACAGCCCTTAATTCGAACTACTTAGTTCGAACTAGGTGTTAGTCCTCGTAGAATGAGGTTTACCTGGTTCGAATTAAGTTCGAACTAGCGGTTTGCCTGTGTAGCGCCTATCAAAGTTAATTCGAACTAACATCTGTTAGTTCGAATTAACTTTGTAGTGTAGACATACCCCTAGTGACTCCAAATTGAGCTTACTGACTTGCAGTGTGATGCCTTACTTATGGAGCAATTCAAATCCATGCCATATCTGCGGTTTTACGCATCTCTCAATTAACAGAACTTTCCAAAGATCAAGGCTCATTTCCAAAAGATGCTTGTACTGTTTGGATCAACTTACATCTTCGAGCAGACATTTTCTGTGATAAAATTCAATACATCAAAGAACAGATCTTTAATCATGTATGACCATCTTGCAGTAGTACTTTGCATTGCAACATCAAAAATGACACCTTACTAAGGCTTACTTCATGCCCCTTATTAATGCCCATTATAGACTTTCTTCTTCACGCTAAGTTGCATTATTTCTTTTACACTTAATTTTAATAATGAGTATAAATTGAATGCAACTCAGATGGGCAATAAGCTAGATGCAGCTTGCCAGGATTAGCCCCTGGCAAGCCGCCGGAGCTTTATTTACCTGCATCTCCGCAGATACGGCCACTTGAGGCTCCCATTGGCTGTGGATCACCATTCTCAACCAACGGGAGCTGCAGGAGGTGGAGTCCCAGTCCATGCACCTAACCCTGGTTAACTGTGTCCGGTCTGTGGGTTGATTATTGCCCACCACTGATGTAACTAAGGGTACGTCTAGACTACCGCGTTTTGTCGACGGAAGTTTTGTCGACAGATACTGTTGACAAAACTTCCATC